AATGGATATAAAAAATAAACCCAGATTTCATTCAGTCATCTTCACATTACACTCCACAACTTATTCCGCTAAAAATAGTACACTTGCTTGCGTATTTGTCAGTGCTAAACAAATAATAACCATGCTACTGCAAGACAGAAATGTTAATCCATTCTGTAGAAAACTGCATGTCATTTAATTACCATTAAGTTTTTTGCCAACATTTAATTAACAAAACTTACATTTAAATACTGCTTATCAACGCAAATCCTTTAAGCCTTCCGTTGAGTAGACCCTGTGTGCGAGTGGCTACACTCACAAGTATGTGCACAAACATGTATGTAAGACTCATTGTATGCACTTTAAGTTTGAAGCTTTTTGCTATCTCATTGCCTGGACTGCATCACAGCTTGAAATATGAAACCAAGTTATAAAGAATTTCATGAATACAGTTTAACTGCCAAAATTTTCTTTTGTTCATGTTTACAAAGTTGGAAAGTCTAACACAGCTTGATGACGCAGACCCACCATGCCAAGTTGCCTTAATTTGGGGATACCAATAGTTGGCAGGAATTCTTCAAGTAGCCAGTTATTACAACCTTCAGCTTCTGTGGTGGCAAATACTACTGGGAGAGTGTTTGACAAAGAGCATGCTTGTTATTAACATTTACAGTGAAAAGTATCCCATATACATCCCACACATTTCTTAATCATTACCCCACCTTCCTCACGTAAACTTAAAAAATTACTTATATTTTCATGGAAATCTTCCAGTTTTATAAAATTAGGTCCCACAGGGAGGTGACTTTCATTTGTTCGGTAACTATGTAAGAGCTAGGGTATAAATAAACTTACAGATATATTGCAATGGTTCAAGAAAAAATTGATTCTGAAGTATTAGCATAGGAATGTTAGCATGTTCACATATTATAGCTGACCAAAGAGGTTCACTGTTAAATTAGTGAGTGTACATAGTGAACACAAAAGTGCCTAACAACCAAACCCAAGAAATCCCACAAGCCTTCACCAGAAATTAACATATGTGGGGAAAAAAGCCTAACTGAAATAAAGATATGCTTAACACTGAAAGCGAGGCATTCTCTTAATACTGGCAGGATATGCAAAGCAAACTAAAGGCTGCATTTTCTGGGCCTTGGAAATAATGGTGTTGTTCTTTTACTCAAGACCTCAGGGACTACATTCAGTCACTCAGAATATGAGAGATTCAGACATGAATTTTTTTTTCCAGTGCCCACTACGAAGTAGATCCATCCTAAATCATCCTAAATCATAGGAAAGTGCTCCATACACTAGGCTATAAAAGGAAATGAACCCCCTCCATATCAACTCTTTTACCTTTTTGATCTCAACAAAACTAGTACAGTATATTTTCAGAAGACATAACATCTCAGCAAAGAGACTGGCAATCTGAAACACAGCTGCCACATTGTACAGTACTCCCTGAAGAGATTATGTCTAATGAAGATTCTGGAAGATAATTTTACAGGTCATTTCAAGTAAGACAGTTGAGACTAGAGATAAAAATTATGCTGTCAATAGCAAACACTGTTATATTGCAGGCAGAAAAGAAATCTTAAAATATATTATTTAACAAAGAATGGGTCTTAAATGTACTAGGTTTGATAATGTCAAGAAACACTTCATCAGAAAACCACAAATGCTGAGGAATAATCTATGCCTCAAGACAGTTATGCACAACAGAATCTTTCTTCCCCTGTTTTCATCTGATAATTTGTGTGCCTCATTTACTTTACAACTGACATTTTAATACACAATTATCCCTCCTCACATGTAAAAGAAAACATTTATTTTTCACAATACAAAATACTTTAAAGTATAAATAAACAATATAAGCAGATGTCTGACTGAATTAGTGTCTTCTCACTAGCTTAATACACTAACAATCTGTTCTTCAATAACATTTGTTCAGTGGGGAAGTTTACACACAAGTGCTATCACTTTCAAATCCCATTGCACATCAGCACTAGGATTTGGGGTTAGACCTTAAAGTGTACTTTCCATTTTATTTTAAAACTTAAAATGGGGCTCTTTGCCAATGAAATACTTGCACAAGAGGGAAAAACAACATATCCACATTTTTGCATTTCAGGAGTCAATCTTCTGACATACAGGTTGCAATATGTTTTTTGATATATAAGTGGCAAGACTTGATGACAAGATGGAAGAGGACTATTAGAAAGAAAGTATTTCTTGCATATAATTTATAAAATATAATTATTAAATTCTTAAAAAGAATTCTACAGATTGCTCAAATTGTGATTTTCTTATCAAAGGTTCTGAATTCAAAAGAAAAGCAAGATTTTTCAGCACAAAATCCCATTAGAATTTTGTTTTGCACCATACCACAAATAAAGGTAAAAACCTTCTATCCACTGCTACAAGACAGTGTGACCCTACTTGGCACAGCTGATGAGGTCAAAGTACAGTCTTGAAGTCTTGTTTACAACAAGGTAGCAGCTACCTTGGACACAACAGAACTGTTCTCCAGAAAGAAGAGCTAAAACCACCAGAAATGGTTCCCTATAAATGGTTTGGATGTTTATTATTATCCAGCCACTATATCACTTAACAGCAGTCACAAAACAACATATGAAAAATATTTTCTACAAACAACACACCCAGTCAGCATTATCACTAAATCACCACTTGAGAAAAACTATTCCTTAGTATCAAACTACTTTTCAAGCAATAGTCACATACCATATTATACCAGTAAGCATGTTACCCTCTCAGTAACGTTTAAAAGGAGGTACGACTCAGCTTTTTTTGGACATCAGCTGTACTCTGCATTAATCACTGTAATAGTATCAGGAAATACTGGTAATTTGAGGATTTAAAAAAAAAGTAGATAAAAGTGTTATTACTGAACATAAATGATAAAGAGTAAAAAAAATTATATCCTAAACATTGCCCATCTGATTATATGTTTGACCTTATGAAGGCCACTAACAAAACTAATGTCTTCTGGTTGAAAAGACAGATCTGCAAAATGTACCTCAAATGTGATGTAGGTGGAATTTAGGTAGGAAAATTCAGAAACTATGCTTGGTAATCACTGTATCCTGGAGGAGCCTACTTACTCACTGCATTCATCCCTGCCAGCCAAGGAAGTCCTGGCAGTGGCCATATGTAGGCATTGTCTATGGATGTATGTGAAGTGGCTCTTTTCCATATCCAGAGAAACACGAAAGGACAGCTTCCCACACCTAATGTGCATGCAAAAAAAAAGCACTGCCTAATAAAGCACCCTTTTTAAGCAGTGATAATATAAATTTGAGAAGGGGCACATTTCTCAAATTAACACCCTCTATGCATATCAAGTAGCTTCTGTCTATTCTCTCAAAGACTGATGGAAACATCTTCTATCAGTGAGGGACTCCAGGGTACTGGACTTACCTGTACAACAGAAGCAGTCATCTAGGGCCCTGATATGATGTAGTCAGAGATAAATTCCTGTGTTTAGTGCTCCCCTTGTTCCATAGAGCAACTTGATTGGGATGTAGGCTTTCCTTTTGGCCACTGTGAGATGACGAGAGGCAAGCTCCACACTGGGAGTGTGCTGGACCAAGACCTTATACTCTTGAAGCTAAGACAGTAGCACCCCACAGAATTGTGGATTTTTTTTTAAGAGAAGTTTTGAAACGTGTATGCAAGATCTATCCTTTCACAGCTGCACAACCATTCTGAATGAGTAAATGGCAAAGGAACTTCAGAATTGCCATATTAGTTCAAAGCTGAAGTCTACTGGTGAGAACCAATCTCTGAACTAACGATCATAAGGTTTTTTTCTTCTGAAAGGATTCATTAAACAGGTGTGTTCATATATTTTGAGATGAGGTTTAAGTCCAATGTGCCATAATGTATACTGTTATAGCTACATGAGCATAGTGAATTAGTGATCCAAAAGACACTTAGGAATAGCAATAACAGTAGTGAATTCTGAAAACTCTGGTTGTTCTTAGCTGAGTTTATAAATATTCAAACACTGTGAGTGTTCCCAGTTTCATTGCTTTTATTCCTTGCCTATACCCAGGCAGTTGGTAAGTGGTTGGTAAGTTGCTCAAAGATAAAGCAGCAAATATTAGGAAAGACTGATAATAGAAATTTACCAGTTAAGCAACAAAATACAATTTTTACAAAGGAAAGTACACATCTTCTGGTAATCATCTGAGATTTTAGGACTCATCTTACACCGCTTAATATCCATTTTCCCCCTCTGTGGGATAGCTTCTCTTCAGAGGCATTAACAAGTGGTAATTACAGAAGTCATGCTAACCACACATAACCAGAAGGACACTATCAACACTGAACGTTAAGCGACCTGGATGCTAAAAAATTGTGGTTCATGGAACCTCTGTGATTTATGCTTATGTAATTTAGTTTTATTGGATATGTTCTTATGCCTTGCTTTAAATGATAAATACTTGGCAAAACTCACCCGCCAAAACTCTCATAATGAAATTATGTGAGGCTATATGACTTTGACGAAATGCAGTAATGAAAGGAGGACGGGTTTACGCATACGCTTGCAATGTGCGCTCTCTCAGTGGGAGCAACCGATTGCAGGAGGTAAAATTTCTGTAATTATATTAAAACGCACGGTATCTACTGGGTTTATGGACAACTGACGTCTCTCGCCCCACTCTCCACAGCTGAACCCAAGCCACCCTTCGCATCCCTTACAGCGGGGCAGGCACCACGGGCTGCACAGAGGAGGACACAGGTGCCAGCTGGGCACGGCGGTGCCAACGCTGCTCCTCCGCCTTTCCCAAACACAAACACCCCGCTCGTCCTCCCGAGAGGGCGAGGGAAGATGACAGGTCCCCGCCGCGGGCTCAGCCCCAGCCCCACGCCGTGCCCCCCGCCGGCCACCACCTGACCCGCCGCCACCTCCCCCCTTCCCGCGGGAGGCAGCGCACAGCTCCGCGCCAGCGCAGGGAGAGAGGGAGGGATCCCCGGCTCCGGCCGGCGGGACTCACACGGGGTAGAAGGCGTAGGGCGGCAGGGCACTCTCCTCGCAGGGCTCCGCATCCAGCAGCAGGTAGTCCTGGCTGTCGTTCCGCCGGGTCCCCGGCGCCGGGGAGCTGCTCTTCCGCGGGCCATAGGGCTGCTGCTGGCTCATGTTGTCCCGCGGCCGAGGCGCTGCTCCCCCGGGCAGCCGCCACCGCACGGGACCGCGGCTCGGGTGTCCCCTCGGAGCTCCGCGTCCCCCGGGCGGGCGGGCAGCGCGGCGGGGCCGCTCCCTGCGTGCCCCGGCGCCGAGGGGTCACCGGCAGCCGGTGCCGCCCGCCGCGCCGGAGGCGAGGCGCAGCTCGGAGCGGGAGCAGGAAAGTTTGCGGCGCGTCAGCTGGCGCGGCTGTCCCCGGCCGGCGGGAAGGGGCGGGAGGTGGGAGGGCGGCGGGCTCCGCTCGCCTCCCCTGGGGCGCTCGGTGCCCCCTCCGCGCCGCCCCCGCCGGATCCCGGCTGCCCCTGCCCCGCACGGCGGTGGTGGCCGGGCCCGCAGCCCCTCGGCACAGCGGAGCTGGCCGTGACACTGCCTCACCTGCGACCGCACGGCGCAGCCCCCTGGGCAGCCCAGCAAGGGAGCGCTACCCCAGAGACGGACCATGTCCCACTGACCGTGTCGGGGGGGACAATGCCAACCTCCCGCCGCTCTCCCGCAGCACGGCCCGCGGTGGTCTACAATGAATCCCACCGAAATCTCCCTTGGGAATTCGGCAGGACCGGCAGAGCGACTGACAGTGTCTCCCGCTGCTGGGAAGCAGAACTCTCGACTTTATCGTGGCTTGGCAATTCAGCCTGCTCTGTGCTGGTACTCTGGTGTAAGTGGTCTAGGGAGAGCGTAACTGAAAATTAATGCTAATCCAGCAAACGCAGAAAATCTGCAACTTTAAGTCTTCCCTAGAAATTGAAATATTTCCCTGCAAATTCCGTTTCATTTTCAGGCTCTTTGCCTCTTTCTTTTATCTCTGAAACATCCTTTTACAAGTGCTGTTCACTTGTTTCAGTGAAGAACCAGTTTTGAATCACCTCTAATAATTTCAGTTAACTGCAGGGGCAAAATATCACATATCATAGTAAAAAAACCAACCCAAACCCAATAGTTTAGCAGTAATAACCTTTAGCAAAACTCAGTCCACTTGTATTTCTCAATTCTGTTTCACTGGTAGCACTTTCTTCGATGATATTTCACTTAGATACATTGTAATACTTGAAATATACTAATATAATTACAACTTTACTAGGAAACAATGTAAGGCACTGAAGAGATAACATATGACCTATAGTCATCTTTCACATTAAACATAATACTTGCTATTTCATAAGGGAATACTTAGAGTTAAATGATGTAAGTGTACAGTTAAAAAATTAGTGCATCTAAATAAAATTGCTCTCTCATTCCTGGCTATATTCACATATTGAAATTCTTGCCAGTGTTTGTGTTGGAACAGCACACAGCCCTATACTCTTTAGGCATGCACACCTTCCCCTGATTTGGTGATGTGTTGAGAAAATAACTGGGCTAACCCCAGTACAGTCATTTGCAAAGCAGGCATACATTGCCTGTACTCTCCACCACCCTTGCCAGACCACGGTTTTAACAAGTGTTGAGCCTCTGAGACTCGTTTCACCTACTGAACTGCAAGAGGAGAAGGTGTGTAAAGAGATCCACAGCTCATTTATGTGGTCTTTAGAGGAGGTTCAGAAATACCTGCAGTCAAATTTCTGAAATTTCCTTTGTCCTCCTAGTTATGGCTCTTAAAATCACTCTCTAATGGGTTTTAGAAATCTTCCTTTCTTTGAAAATAATTTTTTTCTGTTAAAGAATATTTTGTTTTAAATAGGAGGTTTAGTACCAATGATACCACGTGTATTTTATAGTTCTCATGCTGATTCTTATTTCATATCACTACAAAAACAGATATTACAAAGTTATGTGCAGTCTTTGCATTTGAGAAATATGTTGTTGATAATATCTCACATTTTTATTGTAAGAAAATTGTTTACCAGTAACAGAATATTTTGTGATGGGAGGAATGTATTCCACTGCTCTTGTGCATAACCATTTAATTTCACTTGTTCTACTCTGTTATGAAGATACAGTGCTTCTCCACTTAGTGTTTTTTTCTATATTCCCTAAATATTTGAAGGGTTTTTTTTATTTCTCCCTTTCATTTCAACTAGTCTATTTGGTATTAGACTGATGTTTCAAATCTTTTCTTCCAGCCACCTTTTTACCCCCCTTCCCTCTGTCCTTCTTTTGCTCCCCTCTGGAATATTTTCCTCATTCTTAAAGCTAATACCATCCTACCTTTAATTTCAGAGGCTTCATAGACACTTTCTCTATTTTATTTTGCTGCTTCCTTCAATCTTGTGCTTACTGTTTGAGTACCTCTAGTATTATTTCCCATCTTCCCCATGATAGTTGTGCATCTCTCTCAGCTTCCAGGTGACATTTCTCATTTTCTCAGTTGCAGCCTTTCCTATGTCCCAAACGTTCCTTAGTCTTCATTCTTATTTCAGCTTCATAAGTTCTGGTATTCCAAGAGGTACTCTTACTTTCTCGTAGGTCCCAAACTTTTCACAAATTCTGAAGCCACACTCATAACTTGCAGTGATGACAAAGCTGTGTGATTTTTCAGAAACATTGGGCAGACCAAGTCATAGGAACATAAAATGTTCAGCACCCTTGAAAGAGAAAAGGATGCTAAGCTGAAATTCTGAATCTTTTCAACCTGATTTATATTTTTAAAAGTTCTCTTTCAACATACTGTAGCAATTCTCTAGTCTCCATTGTCTGTTTACAGGGTAAAAACACGCAGCACTGTAGGAGTGGGACATACTTCTACTAGAGGTCAGATAAGCACAGATCTTCTGATGTCTGAGTCACAAGACAGCCAGGGAACCCTGGCTAAAGGTGGTGTGTCCTGTTGTACTTACAGTCCTTTTGATACATTTGTTTTGGAATGGTTCCAGAGCAGAGGAGTGAACTTGCATCTATTTTCTTTTTTGAGTAATAGTCTAGGGATGATGATTCCATTCTGTAACTATATGAAAGCTAGTGAGGTTAAAGAGAATTGCTTGTGATGCCAAGATGCTTAGATGAAGAGGCAAGGAGTGGTCCTTTCCTTCTGTGAGAGACAAGAAAGGAGATTCTTATCAGAGTATTACTTTAAGTATTCATTACCTTTCTTGCAGGTCTTTCCAACACCAAAATGAAACTTATATATTACTCTGGCTTTGCTAATGCATTGGTATTTCTGTTGCAAAGAGGAACATATGCTGTTTTTAATGAATTAGCCATTATTGATATTTATGCAGTGTTTTATTAGACATTTAAACTGCAAATTGAATTACAATGAAATTGCTGTTCTGGAAAAAGTTATCAGATCTTCACGGTGGTATTTCCCATAGTTTGTGTGTTATTTGGTAGTGGGAGGAGGGAGGCTGCAGGGATGGATTCTGTGAGAAGCTTCCAGAAGCCTCCCCCATGTATGATAGAACCGACGCCGGCCAGCTCCAAGACAGACCCACCACTGGCCAATGCTGAGCCCATCAGCAATGGTGGTAGCTCCTCTGGGATAACAGATTTAAGAAGAGGGAAAAATTACTGCACAAAAGCAACTGCAGGCAGAGAGAGGAGTGAGAATATGTGAGAGGAACAGCCCTGCAGACACCAAGGTCAGTGCAGAAGGAGGGGGAGGAGGTGCTCCAGGCTCTGGAGCAGAGATTGCCCTGCAGCCCATGGTGCAGCTCATGGTGAGGCAACTGTGCCCCTGAAGGCCACAGAGGCACACAGTGGAGCAGAGATCCACCTACAGCCCCTGGAGGACCATGTGCCAGAGCAGGTGGGTGCCCAAAGGGGGCTGTGACCCCATAGGAAGCCCACACTGGAGCAGGGTCCTGGCAAGACCTGTGGCCCCAGGGAGAGAGGAGCTCACATTAAAGCATCTTTGCTGGCAGGACTTGAGACCATGAAGGAGACTCATGCTGAATCAACCTGTTCCTGACGCACTGCACCTCATGGAAGGTACCTACACTGAAGCAAAGGAAGACTGTGATGAGTCCTCTCCCTGAGGAGGAAGGAGCAGCACAACATGGGATTAACTGATCACTACTCCCAGTACCTGTCCCCCTGTGCCACTGCAGGGAAGGTGTTTTAAGATTTAAATTTTATTTTTCGTTATCCTACTTTGACTTGATTGGTAAAAAATTAAATTAATTTTCCTCAAGGTGAGTTTCTTTTGCCTGTAATGGTAATTGGTGAATGATTTCTCCCTGTCCTTGTCTTGACATGTAAACCTTTCCTTATATTTTGCCTCCCATCTCCAGCTGAGGAGAGAAATGATAAAATATCTTTGGTAGGCACCTGGCATCCAGTCAGGGTCAACCCACCACTGAGTTTTATCTAACTTGTGCACGTGTTAACCTTTCATTCTTTTGAAGTAAAAAATATATAACCCTGACTGATGATACAAAAATTGCAACATTTACCTGCTTATTATCTCCCTTATGTGAACCTTTTTTAGTATACAATCTGAAAATACATGTCTTCTCAGATAAGAAGAACTGATGCATTTAGTGTGAAATGGAAGTGTAGTTTAGAGTTGGTTTAATTGGTTTCATTAGAGACAGCAAGTTACAAACTGTTCCGTCATCATTCACTCAGTCAAGTCTAGTGACTGAGATATTTCACTCAGAAAGATTAAAAAGAAAAGCTGAAAGCTCCTATTCCCTGTACAAGGGAAAGGAGGAGAGATGAAATGAACTCTCTTGACGAGTGACAGGCACATTGCTTAATGTACTGCTAGAAGTCACTTGGGTACCATGGCAATGAAAGCTGCAAAAGAAACCATGCAGAATAGCACAGTACCATGATTCAGTCTCACTGAATAACTTACATAAAGGTTATCTCTATATAGTACAATATATATATGTGCACCTGTATTTTTCACTTGCAGACTAACCTGTTCAGGAACAAAAGGAAGTGGAAACATTAACCTGTACTTTCAGGGAAACTTTCAAGGGTTCATGGAATGATGTTTGGTTGCTCATGTTTAACCAAAGTCTTGTTACATAAGCAGATTAGAGTATACTAACAAAGGTACTACAGCACATGCC